GTTTTGCCTGCAGGAAAATTTTCAAAGTTCATGCAGGCACTTGTGGTACGCGCGCGCGCCCCCTGGAGGCGAAATTATGCATAAATTATGCATAATTAATGAATGCGCGTCTAAACGCGGAAATGCGCGTGTGCTGTGCCGCAGCAAAAGCGTGTCAAAACGCGGAAAATGCGGGTTTTTTTTATTAAGCCCCATTAGAAAAATCTAAAAAATTCCCGGAAATCCTGAAGGATCTAAAAATTTAGAAAAATCTAAAAAATCTAGAAAAAACTGGAAAAATCTAAAAAATCTAGAAAAATCTTAAAAATTTAGAAAAATCTAAAAAATCTAGAAAAAACTGAAAAATCTGAAAAAATCTGGAAAAATCTGAAAAATTCAGGAAAATCTAAAAAATATGGAAAAATCTTTAATTTTTTTACAGGATTTCCCTAAAATTTACAAGATTTCCCATCTGGGAAATCATGTCAGGGATGATGTGATATGTCAAATGATTGGACGATGTGGTCGGGACGGCAAGAATGGGTTGGCTATCTTGTTTGTTGAAAAAACCCGCCGGAATGGGAAGAACAATGTTGACCGGTTCATCAGAGGGGCACCTCAGACTGACTTAGATAGGATGGATGCTCTTGCAATAACTACACTCTGCCTGAGGGTGTCATTTTCCTTAGACAATCGGTAAGCCCCCTCAGCTCCTGAATGCTTATTTGTATTACGTCTCTGATGGTTTGATGGGTCTCCATAGCGTTGGGTACATTCCTTTATGGGATGACGATCCGGCTTACATTGCCGAGCAAGATAGAGAGAAGAAGGCTGGCATGCCCCAATGTCGATGTTCCAACTGTTCCCCTGCGAAGGCTGAAAACTTGATCCAATCGCTCTCTGTAGCAAACAATGAGAATTTTGATGACATATTGAATGACAACTTCTCACTTCCAAATATCTACAACATCAAATACAAATACCCCCAAAAGGCGGCAATGGTGAAGAAACGGAAGTTCACTGAGGAAGATGAGGCGGAGATAAACGAGTTTGCGACTCTGCTCATGTCGGACTTCCACTATCATTACAACACAAACATCCGACCAGGTGGATCGACTCAGGGCTCTGACATCTTCGACAAGGATGATTGTAAGGCAATTCTTGCCCAGTTGGATACGATTACAAACTCCCTCGAACTCAAACGACTCATTGGAGGAGATTGCTTTCTTGGACAGTCGGCTTGGTTGTTTGCCTGGCTTTCAAATTACCGGTTGTCAAATGTGAATAATTGCTCAACTACAAAGACACCCTTGATCTCTCAGAAGCCCAAGCGACCTTGTGGGCCAGCTAAATCTGGTTCCATCCGTAACCCCTGCTCAGCCAAGCAACTCGGGGTTCCAAGGCCACCAACCAAGAAGGAGCTGGCAGCTCAGGAGAGCAGGAAAAGGTCTCTCGCTCGACAAGAGGCAAAGAAGAAGGAGGACGAGTTGAATCAGAGGCGAAGAGAGCAAGTCCAACAGATCATGGCTGCGTCTCGTGAGGCACATTGTATAGCGCAAGGGACCTCAACTAGATGATGAAATATGGAGTGATAATAAATGGAATGAAATATTTATGATCGATCTGGTTATAATGAAAAATTTATGATGGATCTGGTTATCAAGAGGCCAATTAGACTATCTACATATCTGCCGACCTTGGTTCTTCTTCGTCACCCTCATCTGCATGACCCATCTCATTCTCAGTGTTGATGTGTAGTATATGTTTTTTGAATTTGACTAGCTCATTCCCTTGTTGAGCTAGTGTCTTCTTCATTTTTTTAATGCCCAAGACGTATGTGTTATCTACTTTCTTGATTACTTTGTCTGTGATATTTGAATATTGAGATAGAATATCTCGATTGTTAGCCATCTGCGTGAACATCAGAATTGAATTTTCTGGGAGGATGTTCTTGTGTGACTGTCGGACAAGCTTGGCCCCACAGTCTTGCTTGAGTGAATGAAACATCCGCTGGAGCTGCAAAATACAGAAAACATTTCAATCATGTGAAGTCCAGTGGAGATTAATAGAGATACACACCAAGAAGATGTTTGGTGACAGTAAATCTCGGAGTCGATCGATGTTAGTTCCATTTCCACTCCGGTTGAACAAGAATTTAAGCCAGTAATTTTGCACCTCTAGCCATTGGTCTTTTGCAACAAAGTGGTTACGCCGGCCAGTTGGGGAGAATAGCAAGTTATGCTTCAAGTATGTACTCATTGATGGTGGACTAATAACTGTCAGGAGGAGTACCATTCTGGGGAGGTATGATGAATAGTTTGTAATCCCCCGGAGCGCTTGAGACATTAACGACCACTTTTTCCATATCAACAACAGTCGACCCACATCCCCAGCCCTCATTGATCGTTTGGCTTCCACAACAGTGGAGAAATCATGCAATTGCAACAATGTGTTGCTGAGCTTTGGACACTCCTGGCCAGCTGCTTCACTACGTGCCTGAGTTGAAAAGAATCGGGTGTAACATTCGTCAACAATTGAATTGAATTTCAATGTTGCTATTTGGGTTCTATCACCGGTCCAATCATTGGTGTTGGTCTTCATTATAACCCTACATTCACCAAATTAGTTTTTAACCAGAGATCTATCATGAGTGAGATGAGTTAAACTCGCCTCAAGAAGTAAAGTACCATGGCCTCAAATATTCGTTCCATCTGGTTCACCATAAGGGTGAAATCCTTCTTTTGAATTGCTTTTTCAGATGGGAAACCGAGGGCCTCCAGGTGCTGCCATGCACCACAATTAGTCATGTCAGTTGGTTCCCCAAAGTGATGAGTAAAGATTGTAGAAGCCACATTCCAAAGGGTATGTGAACCCCCCAGCTGAAATAAAATATTATCCAAGCGGTTCTGAGGGACCGAGCTGGGGGACCGCTGACTTCGGAGGCAGTTGAAGTTCTGAACCGTACCAAGGTCTCCGTCCATTGGCTGAAACCGACCAAAAAAATCCTTAACCGAGAGCCCGCTTTGTTTGATGATGTGCCTAAAGACCTGACCAACCCCTTCTGCAGAGTTGTCTGAAGCATCCATCAGCTTCAACATATGCAGCTTCGGTGCCTCATGGCTAATCTGCTCAACAACTGGTGGGTCGATAGGGTTTGCAGATTCCTTGTCGATGGGCGTAGCAATGTACTGATGTAAAACCCTTGCGATTTGAGATTTCCAGACCTTAATTTCAATCTTCTCCTCTGCCTCGGTGGGAAGAAACATGTGAGGTTCGATTTCCATGGATGCAACAGTCTTGAGGGAGTGGTTGTAAGCGGCCAAATTGATCTCCGATAAGTCTAGTTTTTCTAATAGCTTCTTATCCGGGAGATGAATGTATCCCCAGGTCCCTCGGAATGTGCTTGATTGGACACCAACTGAGGACTGGTGCACTCGTTGCTCTATATCGATATTATCAATGCAAATGGATGGGGCAATTGGCAGGGTTGTATGGTTAGTCACAACCTCCTTCAGGGTGTCGGCACTCTCCTTTGCTAGTGTTTCCAATGCAGCCATCCCGGTACTACGAGCGGATGATAAACCAATATAGTTGAGGTATTCTTGTACTCGTTCCGAAATCCCAGTTGAAAAAAAACGGACGGAGTTATGGAGCTGAAGGCCGTTTTGACGACGATTCCGAGCAAACGCCAACATGGAGGTAACAGTGGTGGCAATCTGGAACAGTGAAGGGTTAGATGTGTGTGAGTTTGTACAATCAGGAAATATCAATGGCACACTGACCCTTTGTGATCGCTGATGAAAACGATCTTGAGACATAGGTACCAGCTCATAGAACATGTTGGATACCTCCTCAGGAACCGTCAATGGATCAACGTTGATCTCAGAGTCCTCGGAATCCATGGTAACCTCGGTGTCCACGTTAACTTTGGTGGCTGCAGCACTATTAGCAAATGCAAGCTCTTCCTCCTCATCTATTGACGCTTTGCAGCCAGTCCGTTTGAGCATCCCCATCAAAATGTTATAGAGGAACGGCATATGTTGGACGGTCAGCTGCCTCTCGTGCTCTTCCTTTGCTTCTGGAGTGAAGAATTCTTCACCAACTGTAGAAGAGCTATGGAAACCACCATTAGGATAGTTGCCCCTTGGAGGTTCCTGCTTCACCAGAATGGAAATCGCCTGCTTGGCCAGAATCCAAGTGAACTCAAGGAATGTAGAGAAGTACTCAATGTAAATGAAGACATACCTCAGCCTCGATGAAGGTGTTCCACGCAGATTGACCAATACTTGTCTTAGTAATCACATTCCGCAAGGTCCCAACTAGCTCCATTGTTGAGTCAATACCTTTATCGCCGGCCCAATGGCCCCGGAGTAGGGGCAGATCCGAATGGCCAGATTGAAGAAACCGGGAGATGAACATCTTGGGTGTCATTTTCGTAGGCAGCGAGTTCAGAAGCTTGCAGACCTGCAGGACTTTCTCATCCGTAACTGGATGGTTCATTGCCATGCCTGGCCAAATTTTTTGATGGACTGATGAAAGACTTGACTCAAGCGTACTGATCAAATGACTGTCATTTGCACTTATCAGCTGATTATATGCCATTATATAATACATGCAAGAGAAACAGTATTACTTTCGTACACCACAAGGTGCTAGCCAATACAGGTGGATTGTCTCGAGAGACCAACAGCTCATCATGGCAATCAACCAAAATCACTTGGTTCAAACCCACATGGAGTTGTTGCAGAAGGCTGGAGAACTCCCATGTTGCATCAGAAAATGGGCAAGATCCACATCTGTTTGTGGGTCCAACAAGCATCGGAAAAAGCCTTGGGGAACCGGACCAAAAAATCATGGCAAGATTCTCCCACCAAAAACTGAAAAGCTCACCCCTTTCAAGTACAACATCTCTGGCAAGCCCCTCCTTCGGAGGCTCGCTTCGCGAGGGGCGCTTCCGCCCGCCAGGCAACCTGGCCCGACGAATCGAGGGGCTTTGTTAAGCTAGGAGCCGAGTGGGGATTGGGGGGCGTGCGGTGTGGCAGCCCGACATATGATAAGGCTTTCTTTGCTTTTTTTTCATTTTACAGATCTATTTTGTGTGTAATGGTTTTACGAGGTCCACTTGTTATGGAGCAGCGTGTTATGATATCATGATTAATAAAATATCCGGAGTACATACATACATGCAATGGTTCATGAGATAAGGGAGCCGCTGTATTGTTTTTTTTTTTTTTTTTCGTGGGTTCTCTCGAAGGAAGCAGCTGGCAGCGGATGAGTGATCGGTGAAATGATGGAATGTTCGATGGTTTCCTTTTTTTGATCATTGGATCGTCTGGTGTATGTAAGCCAGTGTACATATGGAAGCCACTTGTCAGCCTATCACTACTTATACCCAATTATTCACAGCACAAGACTACTCTACAGCACAGCACTCAAGCGAGCACATCTGAAGTTCCCTTTTTTTTAAAAAAAAAAAAAAAAAAAAAACATGAACACAACAACAACATCAACATCAACAACAACAGAAAGAAGATGAGCCAGCCGAACGAACAACTCAGATTCAACACAAACAACAGCTTCTCAACCAGAAACAAGGCATCACTCTCAATCTCAACCCAACAACAACAACAACAACAACAAAACCATCACCATTCTACTAGCTCACCATCAACTCCACCCTCACCCTCATCACCCTCTTCAAACTCATCCAGATACCAACCAGCCCACTCAAACCCAATCGACCACAACCCATTCTCAGCCTCTCAACCAACACTCAACCATCCAACCCAGCCCTCATCTAGCCATGAGCAACCACACCCAATCACCCAATCCACCTCACCATCCGCACCAGAACATCCTCACCATCAACACCAAACCCTTATAAGCTTCCAATCCTCCTCTTCCACTCTCATCAACAACCACTCCTCATCATCCGATCACAACCAAGCCTCATCCAGCTCCGTAGGCCCAAACGTCGCTGGGAGGATCGGCGTCGGCGGAAATGTGATGGTCGACCCTTACAATCCTACTTCCTTATCTCACAAGGGTGGCGTCGGAGCAGGCGCATTTGTCTACAAGGTTTACAACGTCAGTCATCCTCACTTGAATACATACATCCATATGAGAGCACATCACTTGAAACCCTCATGAACCGGTTACCTCATCGATCGCCAATTTCAAACATGTCTCATCCCCCCTCCGTCGATCATCTTCAGTTGGCTGACTAATCATCATTATATCAAATCACTTGCTCTCTTTCTCTTTCTCTTTCTCCCGCTCCCAGATGCTACTTGATCCATCATTCCAACATCTGATCTCCTTTAATCCCAATGGACAATCCTTCACCGTCAGTAATGTCCAAGACTTTAGTAAGACCGTCTTACCCAAACATTTCAAACACAAGTCAGCCTTTTCTTCCACTCCCTCAATCTCATCAAGTCGTCTATCAATCATCTCGCTAACCGTTGGCTATCATTTCAGTAATTTCTCAAGCTTTGTTCGTCAACTTAACATGTACGGCTTTCACAAGGTCAACAAAACCCCTCGAGGTCAACGAGGAAACGATAACTCGGCTGCTTGGGAATTCGTTCATCCTAAATTCCATCGAGGACGACCTGATCTACTGGAACAGATTCGGAGAAAAACCCTAGATAGCGAGTCTGGCTCTCAATCTTCTCGTACTAAAGATCCAGCTCTCACCAATCAATCTCAGCCTTCACCCACCACCCAGAGGTTCCCCTTGGATCACCTCTCCTTTCTTCCCACCCTCACACGACCACATCCCAGCTTCCAACTCGTTCATGCCTCCTCTAGCCCATTCTTCTCACATCTCCACCAGCGAACCAAGTCCGACTGTCAATCAGAGCTCTCCCCGGCAGCTCCTGGGGCTACCTTTCAACGTTCCTGATATCTTGAACACTCCGCTACCGTCCAACGCTCTATTCGAGACTGGGCCCAATCCGACGATCGGCCCTAATACCGACCACTCGCTCAATGAACATCAGTCTTCACGACAGTATAATCATTCATTTTCACACTCTCCTTACCCAGTCGACCCCCCTTCGTCTAGTCACTCACAGATCTCATCCGCCCCAATCACCCCATTGAGTGCCGTTCCCCCTCCATCATCCCCGATGGACATGAGTCTAGATCCCAAGACGTTCGCAAACGATCCACTCGAAACTCTCACTGAACTTAAAACCCAGCTATCTGGTCGCTTCCAAGGGATCAATGCTAGTTATGAAGCACTCTATCAAGAGCTTCACGAAACTCGTCGCCGTCAGGGAGTATTGATCGACCTGGTTGAGAAAATGCATAAAACCTTACAAAACACCCCCAATACCAATGGTATGTTTAGACTTCCTTTTCCTCTCATCTCGACAGTTCGACTGACGTATCTTTCTTTCAGTTGGATACGAATTTCCCTCGCGCGAATTGCTTTGGGGATCTGCAGCAGAGACCACGCCAGTCTTCAAGATCACTGAGCATGACTATCCAGGCCATCATCCGATGATCTATGAGGATATCAACTCGCAGCAACACAGCTCAGTCTCTGTCGGAACCTCACCCTCGGTATCGGAATTCAGTCATACCGCCCAAACTTCGCCTTGTGATAGTGCCTACCGCTCCTTGTCCGTCGGTCCTGGCGGTTTCGGAGGTTTCAGGAACTTGACCTTGGCTAGTTATCCGAATAGTCCGGTGGGTGGATTGATGAATGATCAGCAGCAACAAGCAGCGGGTAGCAACCGTACAGCACCAAGTAGCCCGCCAAGTACGATCATCATGCCCTCCCGATCGGTTTCCGTCCAGCAGCAGGGCCAACAAGGCGGCTCAGGTCTACTGGATGAAGCTTCGAATCGATTCTTGATTCCCAGTATCAGTCCGAGCCACCATGCACAGCAGGCTCTCGGTGGGAGCAATAACGGCCTGAACTCAGTCCCCGTGTCTCCCCGCGACGCACTATCTACGGCCTTGAAGACCCCGCTCCCACCCTCGCCGTCGCCATTCAAACAGATCGGATGCTCGGGGACTGCAGGCCCGGGGGAGATGATCTCGAAGCAGCAAACCGACGAGTACCGACACGCCTTCGACAGCTTCATCCATAACCACCACCATCAGCATCACCCTACCCTATCAATCATCGCACCCGACCCGCTGGATGATCGTGTGGGCTCCTTTACCGCACCCCCGACGATCGACCAGTCTCACATCTCCATCAAGTCCGAGGAGTGTGGCACCGCCAGCAAACCTGGGACGGCTACTGGAGGGCCCGGCTCATTCGACGGCCTCATACCGGGCCCAACCTCAGACTCGCTTATCTTTGCCTCCGACACTCCACCCCCATCGGCGCTCGTCCACCCTCACCATTCCCACCCCCACCACCCTCACCATCGACAGACACCTTCACATGGCCACCATCTCCTCCAACCTTCCGATGAGAACTCGATCGCCGTCTGTCTGGCCTCGACCCCCGACTCTTCCACCTCCACCTCCAACCACCACCATCAAAACCATCATCATCTTCTCCAAGACTCAAGAGTCATCATCCCCTCCCTTAATAACCCACCATCTGATCCTTCTTCCTCTTCTGTAGTCCCAAATAGCTTTAAGGGTAAGAAACGCCCCGCTTCTGGGTCGATGGATCTTTCGAATCCTGCTATCCATCATCCTAATCATCTTAATCATCTTCATCATCTTAATCATCATGCTCATTCTCATTCTCATCATCATCTTAATCTGAGGAATTAACTCTATACATACTTGCTGCTCAAATTATCATAATCTATTCTCTGTCTCTCTCTTTTTTCATTCCTTCTTTCCATCTTAACTCTTTTTTTTTACTTTAATAATAAGATGTTTCTTTTTTTTTGCGTTTTTGTTGTTGACTAATCTCATTATTTTATCTTACATCCACACACGAAGAAGAAGAAGAACCCCATTTAACCTAATTATCATCATCTTAATCCTAATTTGCTCATCATGGACACAATGAACACTTTGCTTTATATATATATATATATACATATACATTATATGTGTACATATGTGTGGTTATGTGTGTTTGCTTTTTTTAGATGTCTATTTCTGAAGAATCTTTCGTATATCCTTACATCATATCCCATTGACGATCTTATATATATCTCCATTCTAATTATCTTCACTCTTATCTTCTTATATATACATATACTTCTATAATGTTTATTGTTAGTTAATTGATTTTAAAATCGTACGCTTATAAACCATTTAATCAATTAATTAATATTTTTTTTTCTTCTTCTTATTAAGTGAGTGATTATAGACTTGGTTTCCATTTCATTTCTTTTTTCTTTTTTTGGTGTTACATTTAAACATTAACCAATAACAATTATCTTAAGTTAATCATCAATTGCTACTTCTATTCATAACAACAACACAAAGAAAATCGCTCATCTGATTTATGAGTTGTTTTTTGTTTTTTTCTTCTTCTTCTAATCATAGAAAACTTATGTGTAATCATTCTCGTTTATTCCCTCTTTTATTCTGTCTGTACTTTTGTTGACTCTATACATACAAAGATCTTCATTTCCTTCTCTTCTTCATAAGTTTTGACTGTACATTTTTTTATACATATTTGTGTGATGATAAGTGATTCAAATCATGATAGACAATACTATAGTTAGAAAAAAAACTTTTCTTTT